AGAGTATCATTTAAATTTAATATTAAATGTCTTTTATCGTCGTGTGGACTTAGACCAATTTTTTTCTGCTCAATACTATATACGTTGTGCGCGCTCGATTTAATTATTCTTTGACTTATTATTTTATCAACATTTTCTTGTAAACATTTAACATAATCTTCAAATGTGAGAGATTTAACTACACTGTATTTAATCCCCTTAGATTTTTTAGCACATTCTTCCTCAGCAAATTTGTAAGAATACATTTTAGAGCGTAGCCCTACAAAATGCGTCATTATTTTCCCGTTAAGTTCATCTTTCATTAGGCCGGGAACCTTTTTATTGACTAAAGGAATGTTCCACTGATTATTGTTTGGGTAGTCGCTAGTATCAAACATATGGATATTATTAAAAATAACTTCCTTATATACATCATTACAACCAAACTCGTAAATTAAACTGTCTGTGTCGGTGTAGAGCAATTTTACATTATTGAATTTCGATAGCGCAAAATTATAGTGAAAATCGTAAACACAAACCTTGGATATATCTAGGATAGCCATTCCAATGTAAAGAGGTTTATTAAAACATAAATCGTTTTTACTAAGTTCTATAGCTATAAGATTTTCATGGAAAATGGTACGATTTTTAAAATTTGGGGAGGCAATTAAATTTTTCGCTCCATAACGCCCCTCCCATTTATTAACTAATTTTACTACTCTATGTTTACGAATATTTTCCATGGTCTTGCCAAAGATAGCGTTTATCATTAGCTTAAAAAGATTTTTTTCGAACTCATTTTTAGAATTTTGCCTTAAATTTGTATTTAGCTCTATATAAGATTTTAGCCAAGGAGATTGTTTGAATTTTAATATACTATGGATTTTAGTTAAAACAAGACCGCTTTTAAGAGCTTGTTTTAAATTTCTGTAATGTATTATGTACTCTGATTTATCATCTAAGGTAGTCATTAATTTAGGTAATTTTGAATTTGGAGGTTTTTTATGTTCTTGACAAAAAGGTAAATCTTTGTGTAAATCATGCAATTCATCTGGGTATGATAGGTCAACCTTTAAAATGTAGCCGACTGGTGACTCATCCGAAACATTCATAACATTAAAATTTTCAAAGTTTTCAACCCATTGAAAACCATCATACGGTAAATATTGAGACATAGCCCACCCGTATAAATTGTTGACATCTAAATAGAGTAAATAATATGATGATTTTGATGGATCGTATGACTTGCCCATATACCTATTGTTAGCCTCAGCGTATCGATTACAACATTGGCTCACCCCACCGCGAATACCTTGTTCAATAAATAATAGCATATCTACATCCTTTAGTATTTGTAAGCTACAGCGGGTATACTTTAGCATGCAATCCCACGTATATCCAGGTAAAGTATAATAATGCGCTGGATCGAGTTCATACGTGTTAAAGCAGCTGGTGCGAAACTGCTCAAACACATCAGCTAGCAATAATATATCAGTTTTTAAGTAGAGGTCAGAGTATTCACCTAAATTTTGACAATCAAATTCTTGCCACACCTTAAGAGCATGTGCATAATCTTCATTCGAAATATTGCAATCATTAAGTTTATTGTAAAAAGCTGATTTTTCAGGTAGACACAGAAAATTTAATTTTTCTTCAGAATCTACAAAATCATATGGGAAAACGCCCTTACGTTCTAATAGTTTAATTTTTTCATTAGGCAAATTTTTGAATTCCCTTCTTAAAATTGGATAATAAGGTAAATATGAAGATAATTTATCTAGACTTGAAGCCATGAAGCGAAAAGAGTCGATAAACCTTAATTTTATGTTTGTTTCATTATCGTAAACTGTAAAGGAAATGTATTTCTCTTTGTTTATCGGTAGCAAAGAGATTCTTGTAAAATTTGATAAATCTTTAATCAAAAAATGTGAATCATATCCGGATAAGTTATGAAAAACAACTGGGACTGTAAAGGTATTTTTGTAATTTAGGTTACAAACCTGATGGGCATAACCTCTGAACTGTCCATTGAAGTGATTATGATCTCTGACTATAATGTCATCCTGCCTAAAGATTTTTTTGCAGATATGACATGATGGAGTGGCATCCTTCAAGTCAATATCATTTTGCATGGGTATGTTAGTTTTTAATTTTAATTGTACCAGTTTCGATACTTCTGCAAGCTCATTTGCGAACCACTGTATACAATCGACACCGCGATAGCTTTTGTAGTACGATAAATTATCATCATAATCACATTTAAAATAATATGCGGCGCTAAATGCTTTATGTTCCTGATATTTTAAAGACTTTATAGAAATATTTTCATTTATGGGTAAAAGAATGGATTCTATATCAGCATATATAATGAATGGTACTTTTTCTTGAAATTTTTCATTATGAAATTCAACAAAGTCATACTCAGGAAAAGAAATTTTGCTTTTGTTAATTTTTATACAATATTTTTCATGCTCAGTCAACTTTGCTTGATTAGAAAAATAATTTAGGCAACAATCGCAAATAAACAATTTATGACCATCTTTACTTGCTTGCTTCGATATTAGTCTAGATAAATTTTTAATCCAGCAGTAGTGATATTTTATTTCGCTATCATCAGATACATCTATAAGTGGTTCGCAATCAGATTGCTTGGGAAAATACATATTTTGAATTAAAAGCAAATTGATGTGCTGATCTAATTTATTTTTTGTAAGTCTGATTGGAATAGTATTGTAATGAGCGCCTTTTTTCGTTTCAATTAGCTCCAGCCCGTAAACATTAATAGATAGGGAATTTAATTTTTCAAATTTATTAATATCAGGTAGTTTCATAGGCAAGTTAATATTATCAAAATTTAAAACATTATTATAGCTAGGATATGAGGAAGTTCTATGCACCGTAGATTTTGGGGGGTATAATGCTGATACTATAGCCCACCCAAAGCAAGCATCATCATCATAATTTTTTACATTTACACAGGCTTGTTTTCTAGCAATTTCCTCAGGTAGCCTAATAAAAGATGACCCGTTACCAACCTCATATTTATTTATATTGATTTCTAAACTTAATACTTTTTTTAATGCCCACCCTGAGTCTTTCTCTGCAAATTCACTTAATTTATTCAAAATTTTATCTATTACATTTTCTTGAAACCAGTTCTTTAAATTTGTACTTCTATCTATGACAACGTTTTTGGTATTAAAATATTTAATTTCAGTAATATCTTCTGACTTAATATTTTGCTTTAGAAAATCACTTCCAAAACAAGTGTTAACTTTAAGTAGTGGCATGGATTTTAAGATATTTTTTATTCTAGATTGAAACAAAAAAAATGCGTCGTTTAAAAACCCTAGGGGATCTAGATGTAAAATATTTATTATAATGCCTGTTCGAACTCTTGACTTAAACATTGTAGTTACATCCTCCCATTTAATCCGCGCACTACGGTTAGTTTTCACCCCCGCCCCTACATACTTTAAATTATTTAACTGTACTTGACATCGTTTTAATTGTCCAATGGTTGTTATAATTTTTTTTTGGCATCCTATCGATAATGTATTGTTTTTGTTTAATTGTGAGCAAAGTCTAATTTTTTTTTAATTAAATTAAGCCAAACTTTAATATCGTTTTGAGCAGAATTATTTGTTAACAACTTTAGAGCATTTAATATTAAATTTAATGAGTCTGTACTCACCGTGGCCACTTTTACATCCATTTTCTAAATTTCGCGGATATTGATTTGGGGTGTTGGCTTGTAGTTGTTTGCGAACTTCTTTTGACCCAGGTAGACTAAACCAAATTTTCCACCATTAAGGTTCTCCAAATTTTTTTCCACCACTTCAGTTAGACGTTTGGGCAGGAACACCTTATACTCGAATTCAGCCAAAGGTATTTCACCAAATTTGCTTTTTACGATTTTGATTGATTTTATGGGGTATAGCTCCCCCTCAACCAATTCTTGAATCCTACGAACTTCTTTTTCAGTCACGACTGCCACAGCATTAACTTTAGTTAAAAATGACATACTATAAGTAAAAAGGTATAAATAATTAAGATAAATAATATTAAATAACTTACTTTGTATAATTATATGCACTAACACACTCAAAAAATAGTTTTAGTTGATAAACTTGTACTGATGTTATTTGCGATTTTGCATACCTTTTATATCAATAAAGTACGTCATTGGATGTTGATAAGAAGTAAAGCAGTAACCGCAAACAAACAAATATTTTAATTTGCGGAAAAACCTTAGATCCGGTTACTGCTTTACTTCTTATCAACATCCTGTTGTTTTTAACCACCAAAGTTCTAGAACATTCGATGTGACGTACTTAAATATTTCAGATCCTGTTTGCGGTTAAAAACAACAGGATGTTGATAAGAAGTAAAGCAGTAACCGGATCTGAGGTTTTTCCGCAAATTAAAATATTTGTTTGTTTGTGGTTTGACATTACGTAGTTGCTAGATAAAAATTTATTATAAAAAGAAAATATTGAAATATTTATTTATTATTAGTACAAGCAATTATGAGTGAATATAGTGAAAGTACTAACAGGTACACACCGCCTGCCAATCCAGAAGAATATTTTATGGAAAAGTAAGTTATTTAATATTATTTATCTTAATTATTTATACCTTTTTCTTTTCAGAAATATAACTCCACCTCCACATTTGATGCCCTTAAAACAGTAATTATTTATTTAATGTTTATTACTTTTTTATTTATTTTTTCTTGCAGAGCAATAAATTGGGCTTACAGGCGAGAATGCGAAGACTGTGGCAGGCTTTTCTGCTTTTGTTTTGTCGACTACAGGTAATACACACAACTTTTTTTCTAATTTAAATTTTTTTCTTTTTAGAACTCAGTCACCTTCATCGCTATCCTCGCCAATAGCATCGGAGCCTTCGCCACCGTCCTCACCCTCACTGATATTATTAGAGTCTTCCCCACTACCCTCACCAATAGCATCGGAACCTTCGCCGCCAACCTCACCCTCACCGATGTTCAGAGAGTCAGGTTACCTGCTAGAACCAAATGAGGGGGTGGTGGATTTATTAGAGTCTTCCCCACTACCCTCATCGATATCGGAACCTTCGCCGCCAACCTCACCCTCACCGATGTCATTAGAGTCTTCCCCACTGCCTCCGTTCCGTTGCCTGCTAGAACCAAATGAGGGGGTGGTGGATTTATTCGATAATGAATCACCATCCCCAGCTAAAAAAAGGCGTTATGTGTACATTAATAAAAATTGTAAAGATAACAATTTATTTATTAAAAAATAAATGTTTACGTAAATCTTTTAAATTTTTATTTCCCCACCACTTTTTCAGATATATACTAATTAAAAATGTAAAAAATGGTTAGTTGTTGAGTTACTATCATCTAATAATCATGTTTTCGACAGCAAATTTTTTATTACTATCTACATTTTTAAATAATACTTTATTTGTAAATTTTCCCAAAAACACTCAGGATTGTTATGTGGCATTTAATGTTGATAATCCAATGGTAAAGGCTCAATGGCCAAATGATTGGAATCCAATGGATGCAGCTCCTGGTACATTCAAGATTCAAGTTAATGCCTCAGCAAATAGCTCTATATTACATTATAAATTAAAATATATTTTATCAGCAGATGGTGGAAAGACTAGAACCCTTTTTGAAATAAATAGTTTAAATAGTGTAATAACTAATTTAACCAATTTATCGACCACTACAGGATCGGGGGTGACCTCTTCAACAACATTTTCCACAAAAATATTTATAGAATTTATATCTCTGTTAATAGTAGGAATTATTTTACTAACTATTTATGCATTTGTATATTTTTTAGGTTATGCAATTAATAAATGTAAAAATATTTAAATATATTATATTACTTACCTATGAGTTTTATTCTAATTTTAGGATATACATAAAAACAATATAATTTTTTTATTTATTTATTATAATATTATTTTATTTAAAGCACATAATTTTTTTTTTAAATTAGTAATGTCAAGCGAATTCTTCCTCAGATCCTCAGAAATGCTCATAGCAGCAAAAGCCTTACATAGTTCATACATTTCAATGTCTTCTTTTAATGCCTGCAATTCTTTATAAAATTTTATTTTTCTTTGAGCAAATTCTTTACAATCCATGATTATGGGGTAGATAACTTTGAAGCCAATTATGTAATACTAAGGCATGTGTTGTACTACACCTACCGCTTCTAAAATGATCCAAACACATGAGGGGTTTGTTTTTAAACACTGGCTGCTCCCAAACGTTCAGCGTTTCAACGTTTATAATTTTTATATTTGGTAATAACTGCTCACAGACTGTTTTTAAATATTTATAATTTTGATTTCCTTTTGTGTAAACAGTATCGTATTCAGGCAATAATTCCATTAAAATGTTGTTAATCTCATTGAAATTTATATATCCACTTGAATATCGTAGACCATGAATTTTTTCTTCAAAGCAAACTTGTGTTTTATTTTTTCGTGATAACAGCTTAAATTCTACCATTGGTTTTAAGAGATAATGATTTGTTTGCAATCCATTGGTAACTGCTATTTCTTTTGGGTGAAAAAACCATTTTTCGTTAGAGAATAAATTAAATCCCTGAATATTTATAGACACAACCTTCATCTTAGGCAGAATAATTTAAACTAAACAGCATTATGATAAACTACGAACTATTTCACTAAGTGGAAGATGCTCCATAATGACGTCATGTATAATAACACAATATGCTTTTGTGTTATCGGGAAAGCCTTTTTTCGCCTCAATATCAACTTTGATGTCAACTGTACTCGATTTTAAGGATTCATTTCTTCGGGAACAATCAATTACAAAAAGGGCGTGGTTCTTAAATTGTTTATAATCAAGTAGAGAGTGTTTTGATATTGTTAAATCATTTTTAAAACTTGAATAAAATTGTGTATAATTGTGATGGGCCTCGATAAAATTATTTTTTTCAAAATTAAGGTCCATGCGTTCTATAGGAAAATATTCGCCATTGAGGATACCACGTATATCAGATATATCAATGTTGTCAAAATATGAGGGATCTTTTGTATCATTACCTCTTCTATTGGTATGAAAAGCTAAAATTATATAGCGTGGACTTTCCAATGCAGTGCACGTTTTAACTGACCATATTTCCTTAGTGGCATCTTTAGTTAATTGGGGTAGCTCATGGGATTCCCACTTTCTAAATGGAATTACTATAGGTCTGTCTGATTTTATTGATTCCAACAACTGAAGCTTTAATAAATCATTGGGTGTAATAACTTGTACTTTTAACGAGATATTTTCAACGGTTAATTTAGCCTTTGTTGTGCCAGCAGCAGCAGCCGCAGTTTTTTCTGTTATAATTTGACAATCAGAGTCATTTCGAGCTCTTACAAGACGTATAGTTTGTTTACCAAATTGGGCCAGCTGATAATCATTAAATATACCAAATAAATGATGTAATGGTATACGTATATTAAAAGTTGAAATTTTGGCTATTGTTGAGACTATTGGTTGAGCTGGGTAATTCCATCCTGCAATGCCTAAATGGTTTGAATCATCGCTACTGTAATTAAGATAGCCCTTAATTGTGCTCACAATACCTGGGTCGCGAATACCATCAATTTCTTTTCCATTTATTTCATAAGAAATTCGGTCAAACAAAAAAGCTCCAAAATTATTTATTAAGGCTGCCTCGCCATCCCCTTTAGTTATTTCCAATTTACCATCTATTAATAGAGCTGCATCGTGCATAAGCAGCCAGGAATCTCTTTGATTTATTGAAATTTCTATAACATCACTATTATTAAAAGATTTAACATAGGGGTAATAAGTTCTGTAGTCAACCTTTTGAATTGTTTCACTAAACTGTGGTTTTCGATAGATGTCGAAGATTTGGTCTAATGATGACATTATATCCTAATGATTGTAGAAAAAGTCTATTTGAATTAGTTAAGCTGTTTGAACTAGGCAAGCGTTTGCTGTCAACTGATTTCAAATTGTTTGTGCTAGGATTTTTATAATAATTATTGAATGTTAGTCCCATTATGATAATTTTTTTAATTCCAATCGAACTATAACTTCCTCTCCACGAAAATTAACTGGTTTAAAATCTTGGTTTAAAATTACCAAAGTAATATTAGATATTTCCTGTTTATTTATTATTGGTAAATATATAAGGTTTCGGGGAATTTCGTTGATTGTATAGCCTGGATCAACGTCTACTGAAAATTCGTAAATTGTATGTGTTGGTAGATAATTATAATAAGCACCTGTAGATATATTACAATCGATGTGAATGGTTCGAACTTTTATTATATTAACTGGGAGATCTGATTCGTGTTTTTTACCCGGCGTTAAAGTACGCTTAGAAAATCCTAATATTTTTCCTATACCATCTGCTTGTGTAAAATCTATTTTCAACGTATTGCTTTGAATTTCACACTTTAAAGTATTATTATTTAGTTTAAGTGAAAAATATTTATCATAATCTTCCTTTTTAACGTTGCCAGGAATAATTTGTTGTCTTAGGTACGTTTCTATATCTAATATTTCATAAGTACCAGTTGGTATTATTATTTTTTTTACCACACTCGCTTCTTTATAATAAAATGTATTTTCACCTTCTTCAATATTAGGGATACTGTTATAGGAATAAAACCCTATTAATGCTATACCGTAGTCAAAATCTGGATTAAGTTGTATTGGATTTGTAAAATCTATACTTAAAACATAATTATTACTTTTTAATGTAAATAGCTGGGACATTATCTTTAAACAACGGTTAATAATAGACTAATCATATTTTCTTATCTCATTTATTTTTATAAAGAAACCACAAACATAAATGGCCACAATTAATTTGTTTAAAGTTTTGAAAACAATCATTATTATAATTAATTTTAACATTTTTTCCTAAATAATTTACTAATTCTTTTGGCGGTTTAAGACCACCAAAACTATCAAAATAAATAACAGAATTGTTTCTTTTAGTATAAGCTACCCAATGTGTACCCAAATTTTTCGAAATGTCTAAATTTAGGATTGCAGATTCATTTTTATTTTTTATTTTTGGTAAAGCGTCTCGCATAAAAACCCCTCTAAAATAGGGTATTTTAAGCTTTTGTGCATATTTTACCAATTCAGAATCATATAGGGCTCTATTGGGTAGCTTTATTGGTAGTTTTTTTGTTTAAAAAAAAGACCATATCCTCCCTTGACATTCCTTTTTAAATATAATCCCGAACCTTTTTTTCCAATTTCCTTCATAGCCCTATTATGTCGACCTAATTCTTCAAGTTTCTTTTTAGCATTATTTGTGTCTATCACCGTTTTGGCTACAGCGCTTGCGCCTCCAGCCAATGATCCTATGGCCCCTAAGGCTGCGAATAGTGGTAAAAGAGGTAAAAATCCTCCTTGTTTGTTCGATTCAAATGGAATTATTCTAGGCACCTTAATATTTTTACGACCCCCGGCTTTCTTTATAATCACCCGAGCTGCTTTAAGTGCCGTTGCAGTAGATTTTTTAAGTGAATTTTGATTGGATATATCTAAATCTTGAACATGTTTTTTAATTTTATCAACCACCCCACGTTTAAATGAGATTGGTTTTCGAGTTTTTCGAACGCCCATTCCAAGTTTTCTTTTAACCTTCATTCCCGTTGTTAATAACCAAGCAGGTGCTTTCTCACCTATTTTAGAGTTTTTAGATTTCACCCTTTCCCAAGCTTTATTTTCCAAAATCCAATCCGCTTTATGTCTATCCTCCAAATTTTTATTTTTTGAATAAGCAATATCGTGATCTTTACATGCAGCGTCTAAGGGGTTTATACCAGTATCGCCCCTTTGAATTCTCTTATCTAATTTAGTACCTGGTCCACAAAATTGGTAAGAGGGCACGTGAAGCTCAAAGGGTAGGTTGTTAATTACCGAATTTAATAAACCACTACCTTTATGCTTAAAAGTCAACATTGAAATGATTTTTTTTTTATTAAAGTTAAGCTTTTATAATTATCAATTAAAATATGTTGAAACGGTTGTTAATGTCGACGACTGGTCAGTGATTGGCTAGCACTCACACTGCACTGACCAGCTCGACTTGCTTAAAAGGCGGCGCAAGCAAGCATTCACTCTCTCTTCCGCGCCATCCTTCGACTGCTCCACATCTAAGGCTCCTAACCGAGACTTAGGTGCCAGAAAGGTCAAGCCTGCTTGCT